TCATGACGAGTGTTAGGGTGTGGAAAGGATAACCGGAGCGCGCGTGCAGTTGTACAGCACTTTACACGCACATGCCAGGGTTTGCCAGTGACTTGCTGTATAGATACCTTCCTTGCAATCCTCACTCTGTTAAGTCCTCCAGTAGGGGTCGAGACATTTCAATAAGCAGCTGAAGTGGTGACAATAATTATTTCATTGCACTCTGCTTTTTATATCTTAAGGTGATAACTATTATTTGATATCAGTTTGTTGCTCACACAATTATCACACTGTTCTCCATAATAATACATTATTCAGGGCCCCCCACATTTGCAATTGGAAATTCACCCTTGATCAGTGTGCCACGGGCTTACAGTGGTGTGTAATTATTGGCCTGGCTAGTAGCCGCGAATGAATAACAATATATTAATAAAGAATATTTTACATGTTCTTTTTTTGACTCAAAGGGGCTGATTTGTAAAAATGTTACTAAAATGTTACTAAACACAAAAAATAAGGGCAATTACCATGGGAACCAATAGGATAAATAGGGGCATTCTGTTGCACCGTACCCAGTGCCCTTTCCTTCTCAATAGGACACTGTAGACCAGGGCTGCCCAAAAGGTAGATTCCCAGATGATGTAGAACTACAACTCCCACAATGCTTTGAGTGCCTTTAGACTGGCAAAGCACCATGGAAGCTGTAATTTTAAGACATCTGGGAATCTACCTTTTGGACAGCCCTGCTGTAGACAATATAGCTATTTCATCTAATTGAAGTGGTTATAGTACCTGGAGTATCCTGGTGCAGTCTATCCATTAATATTAAACCATTTTGGAGCAGTATAACACTGAATTCCCATAGTCCCACCCACACTGGAGGTGTGGCTAAGGCAGAGATTACACACTTCCTTCTAGCCATTCCCAATCGTACCTGAAATGGGTGCTGTGATAGGCTGGAAGCAGTCAGCTGACACTCTCAGGCTTCCTCATTAGCCCAAGTAGCACAGAGGGGATTGACTGTGGGGGAATCTTGTTTAACATTAAAAGTGGTTTAATGCTGAATGGAAGAACAGCTCCAGGAGACTCCAGCCACTATATCCACTTTAATGAGATGAATCAGTTACCGTGCCTACAGTGTCCCTGTAATAGGGTGAGTGTACTGAGGCTAATAGATTATCAGGGATATTTGTTTCTATCCTTTCCAGGTGCCGAAGGGATCATTGAAGACGTGGTGCTGTTGGGGGCCCCAGTGGAAGGTGACGTTAAGAAATGGAAGCTGCTAACGCGGGTTGTTGCTGGAAGGATCATTAACGGATATTGCAGGTAAACTGTCCAGAGGAAGGAGGGAGCAATTGGAGCAAGTGACACCTAAATAGCAGATAGATAGAAGACTTTCTCATGTTTCCAGGTGTAAATGTTTCATACATTGGAAGGATTTGTAAGATTTGATTTCTTGTGACGCAGGGGAGGTACAGCAAGCCTCCAACAACACTGCACTCAGCAACATTATACTAGATAATGAAACCAAATGTAAACTGTATTTTACTTAAAGCTGTATCTAAGGGCAGGGAGTGACTCATTCTGATGAATCACTTGAAGCAAAATATATATTGAGAATATATATAGTGCTGTCTCTATGTGCATAACATCCTTTCTCGTCACTTTGCTGTCTGTTTATTAAAGGCCCAGTAACAATGTACATATTCGATAAGTTATTGTAGCCAAGGATAAATACAACTGAAAGCGACTGTTTAACCCAAAATGTATCTATATCTATATAATGGATCTAGCTATGCGTTCGTAAATAAACTATAAATGAGAGCCAGTCTGGATGATTCCATCTCGTACTGCCCACCACAACTCATATATTCTTAAAGGGAAAAAACAAAACAAATGTGCTGGTCTGGCTTAGCATCATAGGAGTTACACTGTATGGAAAAAAGACTGACAGCATTCCATGGTATGGCTTAGCATCATGGGAATTAGTTTAATTATGGCGCAAGGCTTGTCTAACAAATCTCCTGACCGAACCCTTACCTTTCATTCCCTCTCTAGAGGAGATTGGCTTCTGAGTTTTGTCTACCGCAGCTCCTCCGTGAAAATGAGCGTGGCCGGACTACAGCCAATAAACCTGGATGACCGAAGAATGGTGAATGTGGATCTGTCTTCTGTGGTATGTGGCGAAATATTTTCAGGGATTACGGAGCGTCTGTCAGACATCTATACCCTCCTGGCAGAAACTAGGCATACAGGAATTACAATCACACGTACACATTCTTTTATTATTGGGATCTATTCCTGCAAACCCATTTTCTAACTGCACTTCTGATTTGGCGTTAGTTTGTGCAGCAAATATTAACCCCTTATAGGCCCGTTAGATCGCACAGCTTGGAACGGAGACGTGTGTGTATGGCAGGTAAGGTGGTGATGCACCCCCCATCAGAAATCATCGGGTGCCAGATGCATCGTTTGCCTGTTCTCCATTGACTACAGGACACCATGTGTGAGGTGCACTCGCTCACTTTATAGCTCTTGGCTTTGATGCTTACACCAAGTGATGTCCTAATAAACCAGTCTGTCAGATCTGCTGCTGGTATTCTCCCCTATCTGTGATTAAATTGCTCTTGAGGGAAATGAAGGCTCAGTCTGCATTCTAGTTCTATTCAAATCTAATTATTTTGAAATCCACTTTCCGCCACTTCTATATTTACGACTCTTAATAAGTTCCCACATTATACCAGCAAGGTTCCATGTGCGATGGGGTGCGTTTTAGCCTGTCTATGCATGAGTTTCAGAAAATCCGGGCTTTACTCAGATCCGTGATAATCCCCAGAGAGATTTCTGTTTACAGCTCTGGAACGCTTACCTTTCAATGTCATTGTCACCCTTTCTCCCTGGAGATAGCACTAGCGCTGTGAGAGACGCATGGAGTTTTACGCATATATATCTCCCATATAACACAATGCTGCCGTTGTCCAATTTATTTTAATTCCTAGTCTATTAGAAAAACAAAACTGTTTCTCCAAGTAACTTTCTGATGCCGAATTTCTTACAAATATACATCATAAAATTGCAGCTGTGCCATGTGATCAGCTCATCTTCCCAAACGGAGTAACGTCCTCCTCTTTTCTGGAATTTACATATATTCCACCTTTTTTTAATTTTTTTATTTTTTATTTGTTTTTAATTCAACTTTCCCCTGCTTCAGGTTCCTGTTGGTTGAAAAGAACACAGTATGTAATTAGCAGGACACCCCAACTTTGTTGAACTAATTACACCTTGGAGTTATAAGCTGTTCTTACACTGCATACATTCTGCCCATAACAGCCTTTCCACAGGGAGTTAATCAGATTGCTCTGGGACCCCGAGGCCTCTCAAAGCGTTCTTTTGTGTGCATGTTCATAGAGGCTTGTAGAGCCTGGCAGGGAACAGCTGGCATGTACAAAGAGGGCACTGAATCACCTACTTGTTGTATTATTCACAATTTACTCCTGATACTCTGTGTATTGTTAGCTTCTGTTAACTCTTCCAGTCTGAACTCTGTCCCTGTGCTGCAGGATAAAATGTATCAGTATCCCTTAGTGTCCCTCTGTTTCATTACAGGTTAAAGGACATCTGGATTACATGAAACAGATGGATACAATACTGAAAGCTGTTGGCATTAAAACCAAGGAATGTCGCTTTGAAGAACAGAACAGCCTTCTTTACAATCCGCCAATACCAATGGCAGAAGAATTAAACCGCGTGCCGCCCATGGACTCAGCCGTTGATCCAGACACATCCTGGAACTGGGAACCTGTAACCTCAACAGAGACATCAAATTCTTTGACTAGACAGGATTCTGTCTCAGAGCCCGAGACGACAGACTTAGAACCTCAGGAAGCCTTGCAGTCTCTCTGCATCAAGTGTTCTACTACAGAAAGAACCAAACCGCCCTGTGCTGATTGCACAAACAACAACGACACAAGACTGTACAAACAAAGAGACACAACTGAACAAAGACACAAAATAAAGGAACAATGACATCTCTAATTACAGACTCCCATTAAAAGCGTGGACTCCTGACAGGGCAACCCATGCCTGGCCACACGCAGAGATGATGCATCTGTGACCCACTTACTCATTCTAACTTGAAGCAAAGAATAATAAAAACCTTAATAAATTCGATCACTGTGACGGGGAATGGGATTTGGGCTGATTCACTGAAATTGCACTATTTTTTAATAATAAGCTGTTTTCGCTAAGAGCACAGTGGGCCGTCCTGGATGCCATCCGTCTTCCGTGAGGCTGCGCTCACAGTATAATTACCAGAATGCACAATAAGCTAGACAACGTGCGCACGGCAGCCAAGCAAATTTACTGGAAGTGCATCCGTTCTTATCACAACCTCCATTTATAAAAAATGGACAAAACTGTTTTTTATTTACTAAATAGCTGAAAGTCAAATTATACAATATTTGATAAACGTTTCTCTTGACGAAACTAAACCCACAATTTGTGGAGAAAAAAAAATAGCAAATAATGATTTAAATAAAGTATTTATTATTTTAGGGGAATTTTCTGCAGGTTCTACCCATAGGGTTGGGTGTTGAGGAGTTCAAGTCCCTTAAAATAGTCATATTCACTGGTCGACTTTTGCTTTGTGTGTCGAGCTGCCTGTGAAAATGCTGTGGTCTGCCATGTGTTATCTATTCTACACCATAAGGTATTAATAAAATCATTCTGATACTTAATGCATTACTGAGATTTCCTTTTCAGTCATCGGGGTCTTTGCAACATTCTAACGAGGATTTCTGATACATAGCGCCGAAAAGGTTAATTTAGTGCCTGTTCACCCACTTGTCTGCTGCCGGCACTAATTCATTTACCAATAACTCTCTATCCTTATGTATTGGTCATTAAACCCTACAGCAATGCACAGGATAAAAAGGGACGTCTTCCCTTTATAAATAATGAGCCATAATTTGTGGAAGGAAGTTTGTATTAGATTGTAATATTTCTTGGAGTAAGACAGTTCTTAGAATTTGCTTTCCACCAGAGGAGCGAGGTCCTAAACTGTTTTATTTTCCAGGTTCAGGGAGTTTCCTGGTTTTAGATAGTTCTTAAACTCTGCTTTTCCTGGGTTCGGAAAGTTATTAAATGTTGAAATTCCAGAAGGAGGGAGACTGCTTTCTGCTCCTGAAAAAGAAAAACAAGTCAAATAAACCCATGATTACTCTGAACTTACCTCTCTTTAATGTTCCTAATGTGGGAGGTTCCAAGTCAAATCAGTTTATGAAAATAAAATAAACATACTTAGAAAACATTTTTTATTAAATGAATATGAACACGGAGCCATTTAGTGTTTGCTGGCTGATTAAATACTTAATTTGGATGTAGTAAAAATACAGAGTCTTTGGGGAACGGGTGAAAATGGACCAGCGGACCAGATTCTTGTTTGTGCCATCATTGTGGAGTAAACACAGGCTTGCAGAGTGACACTATGCACCTGGGATCCGTGGCTGCTGGATGATTGTCCGGAAGTCACAGCCGTTTAATCCATAGGGGTGTTGAGGTGGTGAATCTGCATTTCCTGCTCTAAGTCGAACAGATTGACAGAGTCGGCAGCTGTTACCGGTAGGGGGTCCGTACTGTGGTCTTTGTCGTTTGGCAGAAGGTGCTCGTTGCCCAGGGTGGCTGAATACATAGAATCAGTCTCTCCCCGAAGTGTCAGGACATTGCGCAGCGATAGACCCAGCCGTGGTGCACTGTTCGAATTGCGCATAGACAGGGAGATGACACGAGTTCGTCGGCAGCAGGGTAGGTATTTACCCATGGCCCGTTTGAAATCCCTCATGAAGAGCGGGTAAATGATGGGGTTCATTGTGCTGTTGCAGTATCCGAGCCAGGTAAGGACATCAAACAGCCCCGCAGGCACACAATCGCAGACCGCCTGCAGGATAGGAAAGGAGAGATGATGGTCCCATGTACCAATAATGGTGAAATTGTCTACAATGTGAATCTACTTACAGTGGCATAGGGGTGAACACTTATTTCAATGTGGATACATATGCCATAGGAGTAGTTTTGCAAATTATATAAATCACAAAATTTCCATGATGCAGTGCAACTAGACATTTGCATTGTGCCTCTCTGTAAAGCCCACCCCAGCCAGGTGATGGAAAAACTCATCCCTACCTGTGGCATATGACACGATCCTTCAGCCATAAATATCTTAGGTTAGAAAGTGTTGGTCTCTATGGTCATCCCTGTTTCTTTGCAGAGAGTGTACCTGGGCAGACCATAGAGACTAACTTTCTGTAGAGACTAACTGTTGGCTTTCAAACACTGTCTGACCCAAAGTGTGTGTATATGACTGAAGGCATATATACTAAAGGTAGGGATGTGGTTTTCAATTTTTATATTAATGTTTTGGTTTTTTTTTAACCTATAATTGATTTTAAAAAAAATATATATATTTTCAAAACTTGATGAATGGATTATTATATTAAAAATTATTTTTGAGGTGACAGTTGTTTTTCTACACCATATATATGGCAGGAAAATTCTCTTGTGGGAATATCTTCATGACCTCAATAAATAAATATTTTTTTTTCCTACAGTTGATATGTATTGGGGTAAATGAACAACTTCAAAACACATAACGATAATTTATAATTCTGTCGATAATATAAGTATAATGATAATTAAACAGAAAATATGTGATTAGATATTTACTATTTTAATAAATATTTGTAAGCTTAAACAATTCTCTTTTATTTCAATATTAAAGCCTGAAAACTTACCTGGACCACATTGGCCACGAAAAATGGTAGCCAGGCCACAAAGAACATGCCCAACAGGATTCCCAGGGTTAAGCTGGCTTTCAGTGCCTTTTTACTGTGCTTTGTGACAAATTTTCTGCTCTCCACAACAGGTACCGTGAGAACCTGGCACAGAGAGAAAAAATGTCAGACTTCCTACCAGTTCCTCATCCTTCTCGCATTTGTTTACAGTGATCTCCCAGCACCACCTCCTTGCACTGTTAGGTTGCAACTGCCATTTTCTCTACACCACTTACTCCCATCTCCAATGGTCTCTTGAACATTTTCTTCAATCGAAGACAAACTCTCAAGCCTTGGCTTTCGTCTCCATCAATCTCTCCACAATCTTCTGTCTCCATTAATCTCTCCATGATCTTCTGTCTCCATTAATCTCTCCATGATCTTCTCCTGTCTCCATCAACCTCTCCTCAAACTTCTCCTATCTCCATCAATCTCACGGTGACCTTCCCCCATCTCCATCAACCTCTCTTTGACCTTTTCCTGTTTCCATCAATTGCTCCACAACCTTCTCCCATCTCCATCAACCTCTCCTCAACCTTTTCCTGTTTCCATCAACCTCTCCTCAAACTTCTCCTATCTCCATCAATCTCTTCGTGACCTTCCACCATCTCCATCAACATCTCTTTGACCCTTTCCTGTCTCCATCAATCTCTCCACGACCTTCTCCATCAGCCTTTCCTCAACTTTTTCCCATCTCCATCAACCTCTCTTCAGCTTTCTTCTGTCTCCATCAACCTCTTCCTATCTCTATCAACCCCTCCAAGGTCTTCTCCTGTATCCACCAACATCTCTACCACTTTACTCTGTTTGCATAATTCTCTCTAAAATCTTATCCCATCTCCCGTATTCTCTCTGCCATTTTCTACCATCTCCACGAATCCTTCCGCCATCCCTCTTCCATCTAACTCTTCAGAATACCTTCATCTCCACAAACTTGCAAATCTCTCTAATTTACAAAGACTATAAATATACCTCACCAATTGCATCCTGACACTCTCAAACACACAGCATAAATTCGCACCTTGATCACTATGGCTTATCTGTTAATTTTTCTTTAGTATTTCTTCTCAATTTGTTTCTTTCTTAATTTTCCTACAGCCAGAAATGATTAATGTCTCAGATAATTCTTTGGGTTTTGTCAATGGACAACATTTATGGAAACCACATTTTTCCTCCATCTATTTTTAACCATTTCACTTCCACAAAATGTGTATTTACAGCAATTCAGAATTAGTTTTAGCCCTACCATGGCTGATTTTTACCCAACAGAGAAACAAATATCTCTGCAAAGGTCCCATTGTGTCCCTTTACATCTCTGCCAAGGGATTGTAAAAAGTAAAACCATTCTTCATGGTAACCTTTGTAGGTTAAACCTCATGGTGGTATTCTTGTAGATTATGTCGAGTACTAAGCATAGCAGCTGCCTTACTATACTGTACTTACTACATGTGAGCATTGTGCCCACATGTAGTATTGGCTACATTGCTAAACGATGAGGCCTGTTACTACGTCTATCTATTCCGTTTCCTCTGTTAATCATCCCAAGGTTAACGTGTTTGGGTAAACTCACCTTGACAGATATTCCTTCAGAGTAGGGTCAGATATGAAGTAAAATCTCTGAGGACTTTTCACCACAAATCAAGCACCGAAATACACATTTGGCAAAACTGTTGGGCTCCTTTAAGGATCGTTTCCTATTTCAAGTCTTCGTCTCAATAGGCCGATGCATTCTCAGTCTTGGAAATGTCACTAGCGTTATTAAAGCTATGGAAATTAGAACGCGTGACCTTTTGCCGCTCCACTGTCATTTTCTGTACATCATCTCCTTTGAGTGATTTTTTTCCCCCCAGAAATCAAGATGTGCAGATTAAAGGGACGACCTGTGCATTAATCAAAAGGAGCAAAACAGCTGTTGTTGTCTCCTTATAACCAGCAATTTCAATGAAAAGCCGTTGCAATCACTACAACAACTACTACTGGCAACGCACGCAGGTTAAACCGACCTAGCGCTTCAACCACGTGCTTCCCTCAATACCAGCCCTGTTACGTCCTTAACCTTTCTACTGCCAGTATAATTATTTGTTTAGTAAATACGACCCATTGATTCGTGTTTAGTAACTCACATAAGGGTATTTACTAACATGTGAACCTTTGGAATTCTAATGAGATCAAAGTGAGTTTCAAATTTTTAGTCAAGAACTATGAATTTTCCCAATAATTAATATTTCAGTGCGTTACTGTGGAAGGATTTAGTGAGAGACAAAGGTAAACTCCCATTGAATACAATGGTTTCCGGCAATGCGCAGACTGAGGAGAGAAGGACAACAAAGAGCTGTCAATGTGTGAAACGTTGGCAACTAACCCAGAGAGCGACAATTCGCCAATAGTTTGAACCTTTCATTTCTTTGTAAATTCATTTTTTTTTTACTAGTTTTATCTCAAAAGGCATAACTTGTAGAATTTACCAAATCTTAATTTATGTTCTCTTTAAATTTACAAGACAAAGAATCAAATCAAACCACAAACCTGAACCACCAACATGTCAAATAGTCACAGAGGGACCCATTCATGTAAGGGGTGTGGCTGTAGGTGTGACATGGGGTGGGGCTTATCCAGGAGACGCGATGACCTAACGAGAACCGAAAATGTAATTTAGAAGAAGAACAATGTAGCTTATCTACACAGACTGATTTCTAAACACATTTATTACATTGTGGAGCTCTGTTATACACTCAGACACATTACTGGGAGTATTATTGCTGTGGAGCTCTGTTATACACTCAGACACATTACTGGGAGTATTATTGCTGTGGAGCTCTGTTATACACTCAGACACATTACTGGGAGTATTATTACTGTGGAGCTCTGTTATATACTCAGACATATTACTGGGAGTATTTGCTGTGGAGCTCTGTTATACACTCAGACACATTACTGGGAGTATTATTGCTGTGGAGCTCTGTTATACACTCAGACACATTACTGGGAGTATTATTGCTGTGGAGCTCTGTTATACACTCAGACACATTACTGGGAGTATTATTGCTGTGGAGCTCTGTTATACACTCAGACACATTACTGGGAGTATTATTGCTGTGGAGCTCTGTTATACACTCAGACACATTACTGGGAGTATTATTGCTGTGGAGCTCTGTTATACACTCAGACACATTACTGGGAGTATTATTGCTGTGGAGCTCTGTTATACACTCAGACACATTACTGGGAGTATTATTGCTGTGGAGCTCTGTTATACACTCAGACACATTACTGGGAGTATTATTGCTGTGAGCTCTGTTATACACTCAGACACATTACTGGGAGTATTATTGCTGTGGAGCTCTGTTATACACTCAGACACATTACTGGGAGTATTATTGCTGTGGAGCTCTGTTATACTCTCAGACACATTACTGGGAGTATTATTGCTGTGGAGCTCTGTTATACACTCAGACACATTACTGGGAGTATTATTACTGTGGAGCTCTGTTATACACTCAGACACATTACTGGGAGTATTATTGCTGTGGAGCTCTGTTATACTCAGACACATTACTGGGAGTATTATTGCTGTGGGGTTCTGTTATACACTCAGACACATTACTGGGAGTATTATTGCTGTGGAGCTCTGTTATACACTCAGACACACCAACAAGATGGAGCTCCTAGAAAAGATGGACAGTGGGATTTGGGGACAAATAAGGACTGACATTCCTAAATACCCTTCGGAGATTTACAAAAGGGAGTAGAGGTATGAAATGTGAGCCGTTTAGCATTTTAGAAAATATTGAAAATGGGAAGGATATTTATCATTTAAAGCCGGAGGTTTTAGTTCTGGAAATTCTCTGGTTAATGGTTGTTCTTGCAGCCTGCCGAGTTGGCAGCAGTGCGGCGCTGAGCAGAGGGTACAGGGGTGGGTATGTTTTATGCACGGTGGGCTGCATACATTCCTGGCAGGAGTTTGTTTGAAACTAGAAATTACAATCAGTTTGGGGGAGGGAGGCGTGAGTCACTGGTAATGGCATTGGCTCAGGATGGGCCCAGTTTACTAAGCAGTGTTCTCTGACTCATGTCATGCCCACTGATGCTGGCAAGAGTAATAGTGGGTACAACAGCCTCGAAATGGAGGTTATGTTTGAAAAGTGGGAGAGCTGGTCCTCACACTCAGTGTTTTAATTTAGAATATTAGACGCTTTGATTGCCACCAACGAACACCGCCATCTCATTTAAAGGCACAGAGTATATTTAATGATCAGAAATCTTTGCTCACATTATACGTCCTGTCTGGATGGTAATCTCATATTTTCTGTACAATAAATACAGGGTTATTAAACTGAACCTATAGGTTCCTCTCTATCACTGTGAGCTCTCTCCACTACCCTTTATACTGCTTAAATTCTAAGTTAAATAGTGATAACTTACTGCATTTCCAGAGCCGAGACACATCTGCAGCAGCCATCTGCTCCACCTTAGAAGATGTCAGCATGTGTATAGACATCTTCCGCGATCTCAACCAGTCTAATGCTCGGAGATATGAATGGCCTGCCAAACGCTGCACTTCTCCAATCAAACCCTGCTCTGAGCTGTGATCCATGATCTACTAGCTATGATCCATGATCCATGAGCTATTAGCCAAGATCCATGATCCATGAGCTATGATATATGATCCATGATCTACTAGCTATGAGCTATGATCCATGATCTACTAGCTATGAGCTATGATCCATGATCCATGAGCTATGATCTATGAGCTATGATATATGAGCTATGATATATGATTTATGATGATCCATGAGCTATGATATATGATCTATGAGTTATGATATATGATCCATAAGCTATGATCCATGAGCTATGATCTACTAGCTATGAGCTATGATCCATGAGCTATGATATATGAGCTATGATATATGATCTACGAGCTATGATATATGATCTACGAGCTATGAGCTATGAGCTATGAGCTATGATATATGATCTAAAAGCTATGTTCTATGATATATGATCTATGAGCTATGATATATGATCCATGATCTATGATATATGATCTATGATACATGATCTATGATCTATGATACATGATCTATGATACATGATCTATGAGCTATGATACATGATCTATGATATATGATCTATGAGCTATGATATATGATCTATGAGCTATGATACATGAGCTATGATATATGATCCATGATCCATGATCTACTAGCTATGAGCTATGATCCATGATCCATGAGCTATTAGCCAAGATCCATGATCCATGAGCTATGATATATGATCCATGATCCATGATCTACTAGCTATGAGCTATGATCCATGATCTACTAGCTATGAGCTATGATCCATGAGCTATGATACATGATCTATGATATATGATCTATGAGCTATGATCTATGCTCTATGCGCTATGATCTACGAGCTATGATATATGATCTAAAAGCTATGTTCTATGATATATGATCTATGAGCTATGAGCTATGATCTATGAGCTATGATATATGAGTTGTGATATATGATCTATGAGCTGTGATCTATGAGCTATGATCTATGAGCTATGAGCAATGATATATGATTTATGATGAGCTATGAGTTGTGATATATGATCTATGAGCTGTGATCTATGAGCTATGATCTATGAGCTATGAGCAATGATATATGAGCTATGATATATTATGATCTATGATGATCTATGAGCTATGAGCCATGATCTATGAGCTGTGATATATGATCCATGAGCTATGATCCATGATCCATGAGCCATGATCTATGAGCTGTGATATATGATCCATGAGCTATGATCCATGATCCATGAGCTATGATCTATGAGCTATGATCTACAAGCTATGATATATGATCTACGAGCTATGAGCTATGATATATGATCTATGGGCTATGATATATGATTTATGATGATCCATGAGCTGATATATGATCTATGAGTTATGATATATGATCCATAAGCTATGAGCTATGATCCATGATCCATGAGCTATGATCTACTAGCTATGAGCTATGATCCATGAGCTATGATATATGAGCTATGATCCATGAGTTATGATCTATGAGCTATGATATATGATCTACGAGCTATGAGCTATGATATATGATCTATGAGCTATGATATATGAGCTATGATATATGAGCTATGATATATGATATATGATCTATGAGCTATGATACATGATCTATGAGCTGTGATACATGATCTATGATATATGATCTAAAAGCTATGATATATGAGCTATGATATATGAGCTATGATATATGATTTATGATGAGCTATGATATATGATTTATGATGAGCTATGATATATGATTTATGATGAGCTATGAGTTGTGATATATGATCTATGATCTATGAGCAATGATATATGAGCTATGATATATTATGATCTATGATGATCTATGAGCTATGAGCCATGATCTATGAGCTGTGATATATGAGCTATGAGCCATGATCTATGAGCAGCATTTGATTTCAGGACTGAGAATGACTCAGTTCTGGAGGAGGAAGTGTCTCTAGTGGCCGTCAGAAAGAAAACCACTAGAGGTGGATTTAACCCCACAATGTAAATGTTGCAGTTTATTGCAATTTGTCATGGTAAAAATGACAGTAATATTGCACCCAGACCACTTAATCTTAATAACTTTAGTGATCCTTTAACAAAAGTGATTTATTCGCTAACCCTGTAATGAAATTAAATTGCATAATTCAGGCTAAAAAAAAATGAGAATTTTTCCAAAATCAACTATGACCTAACTATGCAATTCCTTCCCAATTCACCACAATTTCGCGTTTAATTACTAAAAACTTAATATGCGAATTGCCAAGAATTCAAAGTGAAATTGATGTGAATTAAAACATTTTGGCAAAATATCCCGACTGAAAAACGGACTTCAGGAAATGTTCCAGTTTGGTTATTTTTGTCTGAATTTTAAATTCAGTTTTCAATTTACATTGAATTCGCTACAATTCTCACTATGGTGAATGACCTTGTCAGCAAATTGTTTGCCAGTGTCTTACTGCAGTTACCAAACTATCAGACACAGAACAGACCCTCTGACAAACTCTGAGTACCGTTACCAAATTCACAGCGTCAGTGGGTTTGAGGGGAATGAACTTCTGAAGAGACAATGTCTTCAAACAAGGCGTTCCTTGAAAAGTACAGTTTGCTATAAAACCCTAAATTTAGCCATTTGTATTTTATTGGATTTTTGTGTATAATCTGTCATTGGTGCCAAATTTTAGATTTGTTTAATTAGACAAGTGGTTCTTCTAAATCATTCAATTGTCTACCAGTGAGGCTTTCGTGAGCAGCAAGATGCCAACGCGTTTTGAATTGCTCTGTATTGTTTATCTGAATTCCCTTGTAGTGATTGTTCTACTTGCATAAACCTGCAGAAAGTGATGGTTCGTCATAAATAAATCATAATGGGGCGTACATTCGTTGAAGCCCTTCAGCTAACAAACATTTTAAAATCCTTTTCACAACTTGTTAGTAAAGGCAGCCGCATCTTGTAGACAGCTGCAAATGGATTTGAATCAATTTATCTCAGTGCAGACTAAAACCACGTGGGGATTAAAAATGGCATGTTCTGAATTATGGAGGGAATTGGGTCATGAAATAAACTGGTACACCTTTTCTCTGAGTACTTGGGACAAGGTATTGCCTGTAGCCCCTCCCCGGCCCCTCCTCGGAATTTCACCAACTCAGGCACAGAAGTTCACCTCCCAGGGGTACAATCCCAGCTTAGCATACTGAGCTCACTGCCTGATCAGCTGTCAGTGGGAAAATACCAAAATAATGTGTTATGACACAATGTACAGTGATAGAATGTAATATTATACCATTATATAATGCAATAATATGAGATATATAAAGATAGAATGCAATATATACAATATGCAGTTATAGAATGTAATATCATACCATATACAGTGATATAGTGTAATTTAATAAAACATTCTGTGATAGAATGCAATATTATACAATATGTAATGATGACATGCAATATTATACAATATACAGTAATATAATGCAATAATATGAGATATATAATGATTGGATGCAATATTATACAATATACAGTGAGAGAATGTAATATTATACCATGTACCGTGATATAATGCAATATTATACAATGTACAGTGATAATGCAATAATATGAGATATATAATGATAGAATGCAATATTATACAATATAGTGATAGAATGTAATATTATACCATATACAGTGATATAATGCAATAATATGAGAGATATAATGATAACATGCAATAATATACTATATACAGTGATAGAATGCAATATTATACAATATATAATGATAACATGCAATATTATGCAATCTACAGTGATAGAATGCAATAATATACAATATATAATGATAACATGCAATAATATACTATATACAGTGATAGAATGTAATATTTTACAATATATAATGATAACAGGCAATATTATACTATATACAATAATATACTATATACAGTGATATCATTATATATTGTATAATATTACATTCTATCATTATATATCTCATAATATTGCATTCTATCATTATATATCTCACAATATTGCATTCTATCACGGTATATAGTATATTATTGCATGTTATTATTGTATAATATTGCCTGTTATTATATATTGTATAATATTACATTCTAACAGGCAATACTATACAATATACAATAATAACATGCAATAATATACTATATACAGTGATAGAATGCAATATTGTGAGATATATAATGATAGAATGCAATATTATGAGATATATAATTATAGAATGCAATATTATACAATATACAATGATAGAATTCAATATTATAAAATATTAAATGATAGAATGCTGTGTGACATGCAAACAATGCACAGTTAATAAATATACAATGATAGAATGCACTATTATAACGTATACACTGACCGATCTACGGTAATTCATTATAACAGAATGTAATATGATAGACAGTACAGTGAGAATTGTTGTGACTACAAAGTGAATTTCAAATTTAAGTTCGAAGTATCAGAACTGGACGCACAGCTGACTCCACTTTTTCCACTTTAGTTATTTTGACTTTAAATTTGAAATTCAGTTTCAATTCACTTGGAATTCTTACTTTAGTAAATAATCCCGTTTAATTATTATACCTTGGGATACATGTTGGCGATGGCGCTGGGATTTGGTCTGAAAGTTAGAGATTGAGTCTAATGTTCCAGATTAGGGTTACACATTAAAGTTTGGGACTGCCCCGGGCCCTAAATATCAACATTACCTTAATTAAAATCCCAAACTCTAACCACAAATCTTAATAACAATCAAAATCTATTCTTAATAGCTTCATAAAAATTTGAAAATTCGTCTGTTTTAATTATTTCTATTGCATGTGTAGCTTATTTAATACGTCATCATTGCTTCCTACAAGTTGGTTTTCACATTACATTTGACTTATTTGTTATGGAATCTCTGCCTTGTCTGCCTGGCTGTCAGTCTGTCAGTCTCCACGTACTCCTTCAAAAAATCGTATCAATTAAAAAGCGTCTCAATACTTCCCTTACCTTTTGTGTCACTTTACCCCAGTCCCTCTAACATTTAAGCTCATTGAGCAGGGCCCTCAACCCCTCTGGTTCTGTTTGTCAAACTTGTCTGGTTACAACTACATGTTTGTTAGTCCACCAATGTACAGCGCTACGGAATTTGTTGGCGCTATATAAATAAAATAATAATAGAAATTAATATTTTTATTTTCCTACTTTTTTTAAAATTGCTAAATTCATTATGTTTTATTTTGTCTGATCAACAAATGGACCAGTCTGATGTTATAACTCTCTTATTCATATTTGGGGGTTTACATTATTTTGCAGTTTGAAGATTATTGTAAGAGAAGAAGCTGAGCATATTGTGGACTTTATTAACTAAACAGGCAACAAATGCCCCCAATTCAACTACAGCTCTAGTCACAGTTTGGCTACTTCAGGTTGAATTTAATCGATTTGGTTTTCAACTCTTCACAATTCACTGTTCAGACAATAAACCCTGGAGTAATAGTTAATGGACAGCAGCTACGGTTTAGAAGTGTGGCAACGCTGAGCATATGAAGACATTTAACCCCCAGCCATCTCCCTGGTTTGTGCTGTCTATATCTCAGGAGCTTGTCTATAATCTGGGGGGCAGACAACGAGGTGGACACCCAAACCTGAGTAATACTCTGTGGCACAGACCCACCTGGGCATGTTCTTCAGATAGATTTGGCACATTAGTCGTCAGAGAAGCCACTTGGACAGCCTGCTTCCTGGCAGCCAGGAGGATCCTGCAGTACGTGAAGGAGATGGCTGCTGATGGAAGGAAAAAGGTAAGACAAGAAGCAACCAGGGCATAGGGTAAACTGACCAGCAGACGACATTGCTTCTCCTGGGGCTCAGAGGTCAGGTTCCTGGACTGTATAACAAGGTCCTGTTCATGCCAACCCATCTCAATAGGCAGGAAGGAGGCCAATGCGGCTAAGGTCCAGGTGGCCAAAATCAAGCCGAGTGCTCGACAGGAGGTCATCCTGAGCTTGTACTTGAGAGGGGAGATGATGAGCAGGTACCTGTCCAAGCTGATGACACAGAGGTTAAGGATGGAGGCGCTACAGCACATGACATCAAATGAGTACCAGATACAGCAGAAGTTTACATCCAAGACCCAACGGCCATAGAGTTCATTTAGCATGGCCGGTGGCATCACCACCAGTCCCACCATGAGGTCCGACATGAAGAGGGATACCAGGAAATAGTTAGAGGTGTTCCTCAATGACCTCTGGGTGAAGATGAGGAGAATCAGCAAGGTGTTCCCCAAGGTGGTGAGAAAAATGATCAAACACAGGAAGGTGGCCATCCAGACATTCCGTCCATGTGGATGAGAAGACCCTTCCCATCCCTTCTCATACTGTCTACCCCATTGTTCATCCATCCCCTGCTTGAGGAAGGGTTCTCCTACTGGCAAGAGCCCATTGTGGGTCTCCCATGTGTCTGTTTTATCTCCTCCATGTGTCTCTCCTCCATCACGTCTGCTTTACTTTCACTCATTCATCCAAGTAAGCCCCTCTCTCAGACCTTTTCTGCCTTTGTCATCTCATTATTTCCAGCCTCCTTGATGCTTGCTGCTACCCCCCACCCACCCCCCTCTTAAGCAAAGCCTCCTCTTGTGAGTCTATTAATAATCTGCTACTATGATTCAGGTCTCATTTGCTTTTCCTCTCGTTCTTTCTTTCTGCTGTCCATCTCCATCTAAGTCAGTAGCCCTCTCCTCCCCCTGAGCTCGTCGATCCTGGATCCGCTCCCCATCTCCGAGGCTCTGAGCACATCTCGTAGACATGACTTGGAATCACATGGGGAGGTTTCCTGACACTGAAAAAAAATATCATCTGTAACAGAGCAGCGAGGGCATTGGAGAATGGCAGGGGTGCAACCAGGGGGCCCAACAGCCCTTCCAAATCTGACACCCCCCAATAATATACTAGAAGGAGAGAAAGAGACACAGAAAGAAGAGACTGATGGATAGAGAGAGAGAGAGAGAGAGAGAGAGAGAAAAAAAATACTTTTTTTTTTACTTTTAAAATTACTTTATTGATAAAAAGATTATCTATCAACAAATTAAAAAATCTAAAATATTATCCTGTAAGAAAGAAAGAAAGACTTTGTGATTTGAAGGTCTGCTAGCATCTAGTGTAACTTTTAAAACCATTACCATATCACTGTTTGGTGAATAAGCCCCATTCTCTCTACTCTCAGTATGCCATGTCTATATTGTGATCACTTTCTGCTAATATTTCAGTGTTTATGTCATATGTATTGCTGATGGCAGTAACTTTAACTCTATGAATTCAGGAGGGAGATAAATAGATATTAAATGACCCTGATTTTATTTCATTGTTTATAGTATACGTTTCCCTCTATTGGGAATTATTATTCTACCAGTTTTAACCCCAGACCTTAATAATAATTGACACTAATTAAGATTATCAGTGCATTTTCGAACAGAAACACAACCCCACCCGTAGGTATCTCTTAATTAGATTTTTAATTATCCGCTAAAAGACTGCATTAACCTCACGTGTGACAGTTCGGATTTAAAATTCATATTCATTAAATGTAATTTTGATAAGCTTTTTCTATTTTTAACCAAAGCTGTCCTAATTTGCAAAACCACCTCTGCTGGGAAGATATTCCATTCACCTACTACTTTTTCTGTAATCTGTTTCTGACATTACCCCTAAATGTAACTCCCTCCCCCTGCTGGTTATGTCTGTTTGTTACACCTTATTAAATCCCTTAGGGCTTAGGATGTCAGTAAATTTTTATCACCCCCCGTTTCCCTGCTCCTGCTGTACATACATAGGGTCTCAGCCAGCGTTCTCGTATCTGTTCTCCGAATTGTCCGTACTGTATGTACAGTATGTGTTTCCAAGGGTAAGTAGCTTCAATCACTGAACTGCAAATTGTAGTGAACTGAAACTGATTTAGGGTAAAATGTCTGCAGAAATATCTATTACGCTGTGACAAGAGATGATTAGGAGAATATTTACAAATTAGCTATTTGTCTACATTTTGCAGTTTGGTTTTCAGTTCACTGGAATTCCCTGCTTAGTATATAAACCCTGGTCTCCCTCCACAATTCCTACAGATCTACACGTTTGCCACCCTGTATCGAGGAGGGCGAAGAATTGGCGATTTTTCCTGCGCGGTTTGGATCTTTGGCTGACATCAACCCACATTTTTCCAGCACAGAGGAAACTAATGCAAGCGATTAATTAACACAGTTTCCAGCTCTCCCCAGCAGAACGAATAAATATACCGGATAACTGGCTCAGCCGCAGCCTCCAACGTAATAATATGTTTAACTCGCTAAGTGCAAAAACTCGATGCAACAAATTGTCCGTTAAGCACTCTGTAACGCTAACACGAGGGATCTTCATTAAGAGAAATTCTGGGTAAACATTATAGAATTGGAGCAATCTCATCCCGAAACCAGTTTATCTCCAATTTATTAACTTTGACCCAGAAATCTTTCTTAATCCCTCCGTAGTGAACTAATGGATAAAATATTCTATGAAATGAACATAGAGATCGACTAATATATTACACAAATGATCTTTCAATCAGTCACATTGACGTTTTAGTAAATAGGACAGGATCCCTTTAGGATGGTGACGCGTTAGGGGAACATGATGGCTCATGTGAGAATCTTCAATGTTTACGGTTTGGAGCTGGCCAGAGTGCTGAACATTTAAAAAAATAAACTTTCTAAAATCTGTGAGAAACACAACTAACAAATCTCTCTGCCTGCCTGGACGCCAACCTGTGATAATCCTGATGGAAGGTGGACTTGTAGCGGCCTTGTCATGTTTATAGATATAATCATTGTGACTGCGCTGGAATTTCAATGAGTATCCAACCAATTCATCGATATAATAAGATAACGTAGAGTCAATAGCAAGACTGACACAACTAGACAGAAAGCAGAGCAGGGTCTGTCCGTTCCTCTCTAATCCCCCTCTACACAGAGGGTGAAGCTTACAACAATGACTGACAGGAGCTAGCATGGAGGCCCCCAATTTAAGGTTAGAGGTAACAGTGCAGTGGTGTGAATTTCTACATTTAATTTTCCACATCTCACTCGAAGATATAAAGAAAAATGGGAAAGCATCACCGACAAAGTCTTCACCAACGCACAATGGGACAAAATTCTCATCCTTCATCACAAATCTACGATTAGCTCAAAATACCAAGAAATGAACTATAAGCTATTGACATTTTGGTACAGAACCCCAGACCTACTCCACAGAATATTCCCCAACACCTTGGCGACCTGTTGGAGATGCGAGACAGATATCGGAACACTAAAACATATCTGGTGGGACTGCCCCAACATCAAACCGTTCTGGAACCAGATTACGGCTCGCATTAAAGACGTACTAGGGGACACGACACAATTGTCAATAGACAACACTCTCCTGCTTCACACTAAAGACACGATCTCAAAATACAAACGATCCATCCTACGACACCTTCTCGACGCGGCCAAGGCTCTAATCCCTACCCTATGGAAAACGACAAACGCCCCTACAATGGAGCAATGGCTAAGCAGGGTAGAAGAGATCAGATTCGCAGAAGAAATGCACGCTACCATACGAGACACCCTCACGAAACACGTTGACAAATGGCAACCTTGGATAATGTACGTGGCAAGACGAGATGAGAGGGACGCGGCGGACGGGGAAGGGAGCTAGGGGGGTCCCCCCCCCACCTTTCCCTCCCCCAAACAAATCACACACACTACACACACTACAACCACAACACTCACAGGATCTACACACCACCAACACACAGCCGCCCCACGAACGCAACCAATGAGGCCACAGGACGTAGCAGCGTACTGTACTTGCAACAACCTCCCGAACCCGATGAACAACACCATACGGACCTCCCATAGAACCCAAGCCGCCACAGCCGACTCATGCACCAACACCCAAGATGGGGATAGACAACAGGAGACCCCTGAGCGAACCACACACACTATCACTCTAGAGACTGAAAATCCTGATCCTAGAGCCACGATCCCACACGGAACGAGGATAGCTCTCCTTTCCATGAGACCCACATCGCACATACAAACAACCCAGCTGATTAACTTACGCAAGGCTAGGACACAAGGCACAGGGAGGGAGGGAGGGAAAACAACATAAGTGGGATGGACCTGGGAGTCCACCACACAATGAAAACAGACGCCACTCATACCAGCCAAGCACGCCCGATTGATACCCATGCCACTAGAGTTACCTCTACATCCTACTTACTGTTCATCCAAAAAAACACATTACGCAGATAACAGTCTATAAAGGAATACGAATTTAGGACCCGACTCCTCGAAACCCTTGGGATCCACTGACATACGTACTCACATGGATATAACACATATAAAATTAATACCAACCTTAGCAAAACTAGCATAGGGCCTACGTAACCCACTCGACCTATACCACGAAAGCATATCACAACCAGATGATCCTAAACAAACAATAACAGAGCATCCCAACTGAGTACACCGATTCTCCACATAAGAATATCGACCTCTATTAGGACCTACGAGTCCATTATGTCTCTACCATCAGCTCTCATACGTGACCTGCGTGTCACCACACTATGTTAAGATGCACTATGTCTCATTTAGTTAAACGAACACACAATATTCATATGGGACCTGTGAGTTCCTACTGTTTGTTTTTCTTCTCTCGAAGTAACGTTGAAAATTATTCCATAAAAATGTTTACAAATAGAAAAAAATAATAATAAATAAATAAATAAAAGTGAGAGAAAGGGAAACTATACGTGCCATGCTGTGACCTGCGTGTCACCAACGTATAACTGGCTGAACAACGCTTCCCAAAATGATAGTTAATGTTTCACACTGACGGGATCTGCGTGTCCTAACTGAAGCTTGCTCAAAGATATATGACAAATTGAAAACTTGAAAACCTCAATAAAAATATATTTACAATAATTTTCCACATCTCATAAATACACATTTTATTAAATATAATGGATTACTAAACAGAATAATAAAACTTTAAAATACTTTTTTTTTTACTCTATAATTAAAGAACTGCCCCCCAAAGTTAATGAAAAATTAAAACTCATTTTTTTTGGTAATTAAACTAAGATTGTAGGAAAAAGCCAAAAAATGCCTTGCTAGGTTTTTAAAACACAAATATTTAAATTAAAGAAACAGTAACGCTCCATCTTCAGCTCAGTGTATCAGAAAGAGCACATTTGGAGATATTTAAACATTTCAAATCTTCATTATTTTGGTTTGTAATTTCTCCAGTAAGATTGCATTTTATAGCAGCTCGATAATGGTCGCCATTCGTATAACAGCAATGACAAAAAAGCCCCCGGCTTCAGAGGCCCCTTTGGAGGAGACCACAGGAAGTTTTATATTTGAGGTGGTTTATTATAGTTTTCATAGAGCAGATATATTATTTGCATTGTGAGTATAGGTAACATGTTCAGCCTCAACTTGCAGTAGTTGCCTTCATGATAAATGCAGAAGTGCCGTTCAGCGGTCATGCGGCAATATATCTGACTCCTGCGACGTCTTGGTGGGTGCCGGCCGCTGCGGATCCACACTAATATGTAGCCCCATGCCTGCCCATGCTACTGACGACGTCGATGTGCTTGTGATGTCACGTAAAGGACGCGCACGTATTGGGGTCAAAGGCCGGGTGTGGCCAATCAAATCCGAGGGAGGCTTATTTAAACGCAATTTTACTTTTCCTCATTGCCCTGTCGTGGTTTGCCTAGTGGTTGTCCGAGAGTGTGCTCCTGAACGTTTATTTCTGGTATTTGACTTTGGCTTCGTTCTGACTTCCCTGTATTCTGGTATCCCTGACTTTTGGCTTACCCTTATCGTTGTGTCTCATTCTGTGTCCCCGACCTCGGCAAGTATTCTGACTATTCTCTGGTACGTTAAGTCCGGCCATTCTAAGGCCCGGTAACATGCTACCGTCTAGTCCTAGGTGTGACACAGTTCTACGTGCGGGATCAACTAGTAATCCTGACAGTATGGACATCAAAGCACTATCACTTTAATTGTTTAGTTTGCTGCATTTTTTAAATTGCGTTTATCACATTAATGTTGCAATATAGTCACAATGTTCTTACAACAGATTAATATTATGAAAATACACTTTAGCTCATAGCACTAGCACTATTTGTAATTAGTGTAGGACCCCCGATATTGGGGTACTGTGATGTAATTAGTGTAGGACCCACAGATATTGGGGTACTGTGATGTAATTAGTGTAGGACCCCCTGATATTGGGGTACTGTGATGTAATTAGTGTAGGACCCCCTGATATTGGGGTACTGTGATGTAATTAGTGTAGGACCCCCGATATTGGGGTACTGTGATGTAATTAGTGTAGGACCCCCTGATATTGGGGTACTGTGATGTAATTAGTGTAGGACCCCCGATATTGGGGTACTGTGATGTAATTAGTGTAGGACCCCCTGATATTGGGGTACTGTGATGTAATTAGTGTAGGGCCCACAGATATTGGGGTACTGTGATGTAATTAGTTAGGACCCCCGATAATGGGGTACTGTGATGTAATTAGTGTAGGACCCACCGATATTGGGGTACTGTGACGTAATTAGTGTAGGACCCACCGATATTGGGGTACTGTGATGTAGTGTGGACCCATTATTGGGGTACTGTGATGTAATTAGTGTAGGACCCCTATTGATATTGGGCTACTGTGATGTAATTAGTGTAGGACCCCCGATATTGGGGTACTGTGATGTAATTAGCGTAGGACCCACAGATATTGGGGTACTGTGATGTAATTAGCGTAGGACCCACAGATGTTGGGGTACTGTGATGTAATTAGTGTAGGACCCACAGATATTGGGGTACTGTGATGTAATTAGTGTAGGACCCCCCGATATTGGGCTACTGTGATGTAATTAGTGTAGGACCCCCGATATTGGGGTACTGTGATGTAATTAGCGTAGGACCCACTGATATTGGGGTACTGTGATGTAATTAGTGTAGGACCCCCCGATATTGGGCTACTGTGATGTAATTAGTGTAGGACCCCCGATATTGGGGTACTGTGATGTAATTAGCGTAGGACCCACAGATGTTGGGGTACTGTGATGTAATTAGCGTAGGACCCACAGATGTTGGGGTACTGTGATGTAATTAGTGTAGGACCCACAGATATTGGGGTACTGTGATGTAATTAGTGTAGGACCCCCGATATTGGGGTACTGTGATGTAATTAGTGTAGGACCCCCTGATATTGGGCTACTGTGATGTAATTAGTGTAGGACCCCCGATATTGGGGTACTGTGATGTAATTAGCGTAGGACCCACTGATATTGGGGTACTGTGATGTAATTAGTGAAGGACCCCCTGATATTGGGGTACTGTGATGTAATTAGTGTAGGGCCCACAGATATTGGGGTACTGTGATGTAATTAGTGTAGGACCCACTGATATTGGGGTACTGTGATGTAATTAGTGTAGGACCCCCTGATATTGGGGTACTGTGATGTAATTAGTGTAGGAACCCCCGATATTGGGCTACTGTGATGTAATTAGTGTAGGACCCCCGATATTGGGGTACTGTGATGTAATTAGCGTAGGACCCACAGATATTGGGGTACTGTGATGTAATTAGCGTAGGACCCACAGATGTTGGGGTACTGTGATGTAATTAGTGTAGGACCCACAGATATTGGGGTACTGTGATGTAATTAGTGTAGGACCCCCGATATTGGGGTACTGTGATGTAATTAGTGTAGGACCCCCTGATATTGGGCTACTGTGATGTAATTAGTGTAGGACCCCCGATATTGGGGTACTGTGATGTAATTAGCGTAGGACCCACTGATATTGGGGTACTGTGATGTAATTAGTGAAGGACCCCCTGATATTGGGGTACTGTGATGTAATTAGTGTAGGGCCCACAGATATTGGGGTACTGTGATGTAATTAGTGTAGGACCCACTGATATTGGGGTACTGTGATGTAATTAGTGTAGGACCCCCTGATATTGGGGTACTGTGATGTAATTAGTGTAGGGCCCACAGATATTGGGGTACTGTGATGCAGTGGCGTACTAAGGGGGGGGCGGTCCGCCCCGGGTGCCAGCCGGGTGGGGGGGTGCCATGACCAGCCCCGCTGCCCCCCCCATGCTGCAGCCGCCCGAGCACTCTGTAGAGAGCCTCAGGCGACTGCAGCTTTGCCCGGGCGGTGCGTCCATGAGGGCGGACCACACCGCCCGTGCGCAACCTGAGGAGAGGGGCTGACAGGAGGGAAGCGCTCAGCGCTCCCTCCTGTCACTCCCTACCTGTAGCGTGGCCGAGCCCTGCACCATGCTGGTCCGACGGGTACAGAGAGCAGCTGTCTCCTGTACCTGGCCGGACTAACAGGATGTGCACACTGAGTGTGCACTTCCTGTTAGTCTGGCCGGGTACAGGAAAC